ACTTTCCTAAGTGACATTACTGAAGATTAATGGATGAATGCATGCCTCAAAAAAGGATGAAAAGTAATTAGAATCTTACTGATTACTGGCTCAGAGAATAAAATGATCAAATAAAATTGGGGTGGGAGAGTTGTGAATAGTGTAGGGAGAAATCTGGCTGCTACATAAGAAATGGACTCTGGAAAAGAGAAAGACTATGTTTGTTTTGTTTGGTGGAGTTAGTGGAAAAGGTCTTTGGAAGAGGGTGATGTTCTTGTGGGTTTCATACTTAAGAAACCCAGTCAAGTCAATTCCTATGAGTTAACTTCATTACATCCAAACCTGACTTATTAGACTTCACATATTTTTAAAAAAATGTTTAATATTTTACTAATAGCAACATTTGTCATATATTACCACAACAATTATTTTTAAAAAATCACTCATTTAATTCAGAAGTTAAATTGCATATAGTTATGAGGGAAAACATGATTTTTTGATATATGCATGCATTGAGGAATGGCTAAATCCAGCTATTTACCAAATACATTATCTCACATACTTATCTTTTTTTTTTTTTTTTTTTTGCAGTGAGGATACTTAAAATGTACTCTCTCAGCAATTTTTAAGTATAAAATATATTATTAGCTAGAGCTATCATGATGTATGATGGATCCCTCTAATTTATTCTTCCTGTCTAATTGAAATTTGATGTCCTGTGGACAACTCTGCCTGACCCCAACCCACACTGCCACTCCACCAATTTTTGATACCCATCACTTTACTCTCTGCTTTTGTGAGTTCCATGGTTTTAGATTTCATATGTAAATGAGATCATGTGGTATTTGTCTCTTTGGTCCTGCCTTATTTAATGGAATGTAATGTCCTCTTAAGTTCATTCAGGCTGTTGCAAATGGTAGGAATTTCTTCATTGTTTTTAAGGCTGTATAGTATTCCATTGTGTATGCACACTGCATTTTCTTTATCCACTCATCCGTTGATGGACACTTAGGTTGATTTCATATCTTGGCTATTGTTAATAGTGCTGCAATGAACATGGTAGTGCAGATGTAATTTTGACATTCTGATTTTATATTCTTTGGATATATACCCAGTAGTGTGATTTATGGCACATTTATATGGTAGTTTTATTTGTAATTTTTTCTGGAATCTCTGTACTGTTTTTTTACAATGGCTATACTAATTTACATTCCCATCAACAATGTGCAAAGATTTGCTTTTTTCTGCATTTTTGCCAACTCTTGTTATCTTTTGTCTTTTTATTATTATTTTTTATTATACTTTGAGTTCTGGGTTACCTGTGCAGAACGTGCAGTTTTGTTACATAGGTATACACGTACCATGGTGGTTTGCTGCACCCATCAACCTGTCACCTACTTTAGGTATTTCTCCTAATGTTATCCTTCCCCCAGTCCCCTACCCCCTGACAGGCCCCGGTGTGCCACGTTCCCCTCCCTGTGTCCATGTGTTCTCATTGTTCAACTTCCACTTATGAGTGAGAACATGCAGCTTTTGCTTTTCTATCCTTGTGACAGTTTGCTGAGAATGATGGTTTCCAGCTCATCCATGTCCCTGCAAAGGACATGAACTCATCCTTTTTTTATG